TGAATAAACATATTGAATATATTCAATCATAATATTCACTTATATCCTCTGCAAACACAACGGTAAAGGCATTTGCACAATTTAAAAATTTGCATCTACATCTGGGTTGAATACTATTTCGAAGATAGTTGAGTTTGTAAATTTCAAATAGAAGGCTTTCTAAAGACTCAAAATTTTCAATCGAATGAGTCTTTTTTCTAAAGCTTCCATCAGTTAATTAGGGCTGGGCAAAAGTTCTGTCAACATTAAATAAAAATATAAAACTAAAAGAATATTTTAATATTATTATGTCAAAAATTGGAGATAGTTGTCATGATTGTTTACAGAAAGTTTATTTGTTTCTAACCATGACTGAAAAGTTTGTTTGAATTTATTTTCTGAAATATTTTTTGCTACCATAGAAACCGCATAAGCAAATCATGCTTCATTTATTTAATTAGTTAAACTATATTCAATATAATTATTTAATCGTAGATTACATAGTCTTAGGTTCGACAAACATGGCAGCGATGACATTATCTTGATGCCTTCTTCTGCTAAATAATTAATAACTTTGGATCAGTATGAAGTCAAGGAAGATCGTCAAGCAATTCTGGAGTGTTTGCACCAAATGCTTCTGTTTGTGTTCATATTTCTTTAACAAAAGGTTTCGGACAATTTTTGACGTATTAGTTATAATCCTTAGCCTCGACTGAATCTACATTATAAGTAAGAACACGGATACTTAATTTAAAGAATATAAGAAATAAAATTTTCATTTCAAACCTACCCTGACGGGCAACAGTCGATAGCAAGCCATCTTCACTAATTCAGTTAGTAATCATTGACTTTTGGCCAGCCGGTCTATGTTAAATTCACGTCTGGTGCCCTGTAATAGCATCATATAATCACCATACTCTATCACGCAATGTCGCTAAATTTTCATCGGAAATTTTAACTCATTTATATTTATAAACAAAATAATTAGGCAAAATAATCATAATATTGTAATAAAGTAACAGTGATGATACAACGAATTTATTAATTACACGTTTTGACTTACTACGAAGTCATTATCAATAACGAGTAAATAACATATTACACCGAAAATTATATAAACTGATACGTTTGAACGCCATTTTAAGCCGTCAGAGATAATTCTATATATGAACAAAATAATTAGGCAAAATAATAATATATTATTCCATGCAGTCCGTTATCTACTCGTTATTGATAATGACTTCGTAGTAGGTCGAAATGTCTAATTAATAAATTCGTTGTATCACCACTGTTACTTTATTACAATATTATCATGTATATTTGTATTCGTCACTCAGTTGATGATCGACACAACATTGTGTGACATTTCTCATGCTCAGATAATCATGAATAATTCGTCATATTTTACTATAAGAGAGAAGTCTCAGCAATAATATTATAATAAGTTCAATGTGAATTATTGCGTATAACTTGCCATATCACCTCAATAGTTACGCTTGTAAGGGCAGAAGCCAGATGACTAAATCGATATCTATCATTCATATCTTCTTTTATTTTACGAAAACGCTTCATCCATCTTGTAACTATCTAATACGATGAAATGTTAGATTCCAACTCTGTTGTAAGTTCCTCATGAATGGTCTTTGCACCTATTCCAAAAATAGGCCGTATTCGAACATAGTATCGATCGAGTTCATTGTTCGCTTTGTCAAAATTTTCTTTTCATGGTAATTGGTTGTATCTGAGAGAATATTACAATTAAACTCAAGATAGATTTATTGCATATATTTTTACATACAAGACATAGTACTAGTTATTCATGCAACAGACTCTTAAATGCTAACTGGTTTATTTAGTTGCCAGCAACGTTGCCAGAACTTTTGGTCAGTTCTAAGTAGTGCCCGGCGTGACCAACTTTTTTGGTCGCGGTCACGATCACGGTGAGTCTAGCCCGTGACCGTGAGTCACGACCCATCTTTTTGGTTCCTCAAGATGAAAAAACTTTCCAGAAAGTTCTGGCCTTCGATTGCGAATTTTTAAAAGAAATAGGAATCCTTAGAGGATCAAGTTTGTCTAAAATATAGGATTTTCGATAAAAAATGACGTAAATATAGGATTCAGTATACATTGTTTCTGCTCAATTTTTCTGGTTTTGTTCACGTCTTCACTTGATATCTTTCTAAGGAAACAAGCAAGAACAGGGGGCTCGCCATCAGGATTCTTATCTGATTCATTTCTACTGGAATGAATAGTTAAATCAAATATCGTTAGAAACTTTAATTAAAGTTTTAGAAACTTTTTCACTAAGTCAATGAATATTGAAAAAAAGGAGACCATAAACTTTGAAAGGATAAAACGAAAATAACTCAAATATTATTTGTCATGATTAAAAGACTGGGAACCTTTTCTTGACAATTCGGCCCAATTAGAAGCTGAAGTTACATCCATGTGAAACTTTTAGCAAACTTTCAGCACAATGATAGTACTTATTCCTGAAATTTTTAGCTGAATTGGTTAAACTTTTCCTTGATTTCGCAACTTTTCGATTTCGGCACTTTTCAGAAGAGCCATAGACTACAATGTTAAGATAGTATCTCAGTTATTTAATATACCATTCGGTACAGCATTAAATTCAGAGTAAAGTCGTATGAAAGTCACAAATGATAGATCAACATTTCTTTAAAAAATGACACATCTTCATGCAAGGGCCATATTTACTCTACTACGAAAAATCTCTTGGACCTTTTGTTCTCTTGAATTTGATTCAGATCCAACGCCATTTTTCTAGGAACATCAGCAATTAATAAGTGCTACAATATTACCAACACAATAGAATGAAAAACTCTGTCCTCATCTCATCATAAAGAACACAGTTCATAAAATTTAGAAAAAAAATACTAAACCACGAAAATTATCACCCGGCCTCGCCCAATAAAGACTTAATTTTTTTTCGTACAAGAAAATAGAAAAGATCTAACTGAATTTGATTTGTTTTCAACTGAAAAATTCTTTTTAAGTGACACTAATTGAATACAATATAAGTCTAATTTTCCAAATTCTTCAAGATAAATTTTAATTGTTTCATGTGTTTCTTAATCAATTTTCGAAAAAAAGTGTCAGTTGGAAAGCTTATGCTGATGGAACATAAAAGGCGAAAATCAGTTAAAACCAATCTTTAAAGCTAAAAACCACTAGCGCATTCAGTACTGAACAACACTATTTAAAAATGTCATCGTAATGTAGGAGTTTGTTCAAAACATATGCCCACACACTATATATGTTGTTCAACGTCTGAACACTATACTAGAACAAAAGCAAACCTTACAGTTTTTCGAAAATTTTCTCCTTTTTTCGATAAAATATAGGAAAAATAGGAATTTTTATTGAAATATAGGACAAAAATAGGACTTTTTCAAAAATATAGGAAATATAGGTCGAATCGCAGCCCAGAGAAAGTTTCTTTAGAGGAGCTTCCAAAATCACGAATACTACAAACTTCCCAATTTTTCATAAAAACCGATGATCGGGGGAGCAATGGATAGCTTCGCGAAGGCCCCCTACTCTCCCTCAGGGGTTTCAAAAATTTCGGAAAAAGTTCTCGTGACTGACCGTGACCAAGTTCCAGTCACGGCAGTCACACTGGGCACTAGTCCTAAGTATATAAGGTCACCGAAAAACTGACAACAAAAATGCCTCATTATTTTTTGTGCTACCCGTTAATTTCTCTTTATCATTCTCTCAAAGCAAAACACATCATCCTCGTTTAAGATGATCTCCTAATATGTAGCAGAACAAATAACTGATATTTTTTTTTCGCAATATAATTCTTTTGTTAAATAGGCGTATTCAAATGTAAGGAAAATATTTTCCCTTCTTTTCGATTGACAGCACCATCTACTCATTATTTTAGGATTGGCCAAATAGTTGAGTTTATCTATTCATTAATTGAGTTGTAATACCTGAAGAGTATCGTACTGGGAGAGAGAAATCGATGAATCATGAAATTAAAAACCAAATAAATTCTTTCGTTGAACTATTTTAAGTCAATCTTTTTCTCAATTCATAGTTGAAATTTTTTACATCTTAGAATAATATTTATTGATTTTGTCTTAATATATTTTTCATAATTCAAATTATATTCTATCAAGAATTTCACAATACAATGGCATCTTTGACAAACAATTGTTTTGTATCCAATAAGAAAACTAAGAATGCTATGAAATCAATGATGATTTTCTCAATTCAACTATATAAAAAAAAAACAACGTTTTACTTTTATCAATAAACTATATTAATGTTTATTTATTGTTTTGTTTTTAAGTTTAAAAAAAAACAATCAATTGATTATTCATTTCTTTTTATTTTTTTTAGCATTATTTCAATGGCTCAGAAAAATCCTAAAGGTGGTGGTACATCTACAGTTAAACATATCGATAATATTGAAATGTTCTTGAAACGAGCTCTTGAAAAATTATTAAGTGAAAAAGATATGAAGAAATCACAGTATCAACAAGTAAAACGTGCATGTGAAACAGCTCTTGGTTAGTTTTTTCTTCTCTAATAATTCAATAAAAGTATATTTGTTTCGTTTTTTCTTAGCTTCTATAACTAAAGATTCTCAAAATACTAAGTAACTACCATTAATTTTCTTTTGTTTTATTAGATTTTTATAATGAATTTTTTTTCTCTTTATTTTAAGTATATCATATATCAATGAAACATATTTTCTTCCATTTGAATTAGCATGTGCATCAAATCATTCTCGAATGATTGATACTTCACTTGATTGTCTTCAAGTAAATATTTTCAATATAAAAAAAAAAAAAAAAACGAAAATTTATTTTGTTTTTCTATTCTTTAGAAACTTCTATTAAATGGTCATGCAATTGGTAGTATTAATGATCCAAATGATCCAACTAAATTTTTAATAGATCGAATTGTATCTGTCATATGTGCATGTTTTCATGGTATACAAACTGAAGAAAAAGTTGAATTACAAATAATAAAAATTTGTTTAACTATAATGACATCACAAACAATTGAAATTCATCAACGTAGTGTATTACAAATAGTTAAAACATGTTTTAATATTTATTTAACAAGTCGTTCAAAAATAAATGAAGCAACAGCACAAGGTTCACTTTCACAAATACTTAATGGAATTTTTTCTAAAATGGAACAAAAAATGGTTTGAAAAATATTTTATTTTAGAAGAATTTTTTTTGTCATAAAAATAAAAAACAAATGTCTATTGTATTTTAGAGTTTAGTTAATGAACGTAAACAAAAAGAAAATATAAATGTTATAATAAATGATTATGATGAAGAACAAATAATTATTAAAGATATTCTTGAAGAACTTGTTGAAAAAATTGTTTATGGTAAGATGAATTTATTTGATATTTTTCAATGAGAAACAACAACAACAAAATCTATTTAGATGAAGCAACACAAAAACATACAAATAGTTCATTATCAACTAATGATATTATTGAAGATACTCAATCAACACAAGAAGAAATTAATGGTAGAATATTAAAAAATGATGGAGGTATATTATCTAGATTATAGTCTCTTTTTATTTTTGATAAAATATTCGTATAGATATTCATATTCGTAATCTGATCCGATGTAAAGTGATCTTTTTAATGTTTCTTTTTTTTCTTTTTCTATTCAAAGAAAAATGATCTAATCTCTCTAATGAAATTAATTCGAATAATAATAATAATTTATTATATCAGTTTAAACATAAAAATTATATGAATTACAACAGCTTTCAGAGAATCGATAGACTTTAGAAGTTGTCATTTCTACTTTTTTTTGTATATTATTTAACATTATTTATGTGTCTTGAATCTGTCGATGAGACCAATCGAAAGAGTTGCACTCTAAAAGTAATATATCTTAGGATCATCCTCAATATGACCTTGAAGATTCAGATAACAAAAAAATTCATTGAAATTAAAAGTACGATTTGAATCCAGATTCGATAAACGCTGGTTGTGTGGGAATATATTTTTTAGTCTTAAGCTTGTATACTCAACCTGTTTCCGGTTACAGTGAATCCTACTGTTTTTTTTTTATAGGCTTGATTCCAACTTAGAGAAGATTACTTTAAAATTGATTCGTACTAAATTAAATAAAGTTTTGACATAGAGCTGTTTTTTTCTTTTTAATTAAATCAGATGATGAATGTCACTTGTTTGGCATCCTCTTCTGAATTTGCATCTGTGTCAATATGATGTCTAATGATTTTTTAAGATAAAGTCATTTATTATGTTTTCTTTGTTTAATATAATTTTATAATGAAAGTTTGGAACTTAGTATTTGTTTCTTTGTAATAACGATAGAACTGTTTCTATGAACAAATCATCTTTTTAGTTCGAACTTCTACACATAAGATAGATCATAGCGAGATATGAAAAGCTACAAAAATAGATCGAATTGCAGTATTTTGTTTTAAACTTTGGCATAGAGATACGCGAACAAAACATTTTTTTTTTTAAGATGAAATTTTCAAAATATTTTAATCGTAAGTAAATTTATTTGTGAGGGAAAGTTGCACTCGAAAAATACCGTCATTTGGTTTGTTAGTACATTCTCTTCATAACCTCATTAGGGTCTATTTTATGAATAGAATCTGAACTTAAAAAAGATTTATCATTTGAAATAATTTTAATTTTCTCGATCAATTAATTCTATTTTAAATTTTATTATTTAGACTCTCAATCAATTGATGAAATATCATCAATAGGAAGAACTATGTCAAATTCTTTATCAGCTGATGAATTATCTGCTGATAATCATTTTAAAAATGCGTATTATGTTTTTCGTGCTTTATGTAAATTATCTGATCGAGATATTAAAGATAAAGGAAATACAGATCCTAAGTATGTATAAAAATCAAATTATTTAAAAAAAGAATATTAATTTTATTTTTATAGAACTAATTTGGATCTTAAATCTCGAATATTTTCTTTACGTTTAATAATGCAAATACTTCAAACATCAGGTCCAATATTTCGTTCATCAGAAGATTTTCTTCAAATTATTAAAACAAATTTATGTGTATCATTATCACGTAATGGTGTTTCATCTATACCAGAATTATTTGAAATGGCTTTATTTAATTTTGTTGAATTACTTGATAAATTTAAAGCACATTTAAAAATACAAATTGAAGTAGATGAAAACTTCTTTTTTAATTTTTAACTTTATATTAATATAAAATAATAAATAGGTTTTATTTCGTGAAATATTTTTAACCATACTTGAAACATCGACAAGTTCATTTCGTCATAAATGGCTTGTTATTCAAACATTAACTAAAATTTGTGCAGGTAATTTCATTTTTTTTTATCATGATGATTATTTGTTTTTATCATTTATTAAATAGATGCTCAGATTATTGTTGATTTATTTATTAATTATGATTGTTCAATGCGATCAGGAAATGTATTCGAACGTCTTGTAATTGTTCTTTCACGTGCAGCACAAGGTCGACAAGCAGAAGAATTGGGTATAATTATTCAAAAACAAAAAAAACTTAGCGAACTTCAAATATGAAAAAATAATAGTTGTGAATTAAAAATGAGAGATAATTTTTATGTTATATATAGACTATCAACTATAGCATTTGAAAATTTTTGTTACCGTATAGCTTTAGTCTATAATAAGATTTTAGAATGTATTTCGTTTATAATATGTGCCAATAAAGAAAACGGATTTTTATATTTTTAGTCACTCGCCATAATATGTCTTAAGGTTTTAATCTGAATATAGATTTTGTTTACCCGTAATTTTTATTCAATTTAAAACAGATTGATAGACCTATTAGTATTTTTATTTTTGAATAGTTACCCTAGGCGAACTTTTTTTTCATGCACTTGACCTGCGCACACCTCAAGTTTTGTCCATAGCGCATGACTTTCTTGATCAAGATTTATTCAAGTATCTCCTGCGCAGACGAAAAAAAGTTCGTCTAGGATATAAATATTACACTAAATTATACTCGAAGACATAAGATATTTATAAAATTTATCTATTTCGTTTTTATTAGAAATATAAATTATTTAAAAATTTTATTATTGAAATAGGCTGTAGTCAATTGGAAGAACATAATCTACGAATGAAAGGACTTGAATGTCTTGTATCAATCTTAAAATGTATGGTTGAATGGAGTAAAGATTTATATGTTAATCCACATTTACAAAGCAATTTAGGTTTGTTATATTTATTTTGTGCTTTTTTTTGTCTTTTTCATAAAAATTATTTTATTATATATATTCTTAGGTCCAGATAGTAAACCATTAAATGAAAATGGATATGATCACGATAGTAATCGTTCATCATCAGGTTATGTTGGTAGTGGAATGCGTCGTACAGATTCGAGTACATCAATAAATTCTTCACAATCATCAGAAAATATAAATGATTTTGAATTAATTCGTCAACGAAAAGAATTATTTGAAAAAGGAATTGAATTATTTAATCAAAATATTAAAAAAGGTTTAGATTATTTAATTGATAAAAATCTTTTAAATAATGAACCAGAAGATATTGCACAATTTTTTCATTCATATCAAGATTTATTAGATAAAACAATTATTGGAGATTGTTTAGGTGAAGATGATAAACGTCATAAACAAATTATGTATGCATATATTGATCAACTTGATTTTACACAAATGGAATTTTTAGCAGCTCTTAGAAAATTTTTAGCTGGATTTCGATTACCTGGTGAAGCACAAAAAATTGATAGATTAATGGAAAAATTTGCTGGAAGATTTTGTGAATGTAATCCTAAGTAAGAAAATAATAAAATGTATTGATCTCAATTAGAACAAGAATTATATTAAATTGTTATTAATTGAAAAATAGAATTAAGTATTTTTTTCTATTGAAATGTGAACAAAGCGATTATAAATTTCATTGTAATTTTTGACATCAGTATGAAATCTACATTTATCCCGTTTTGGAATGAACACTCTGTTTCATTATATCGCTTGTGTAATGAAAGAACTACTTCAAGTAATATCTGCTGATTGAATTCATATTGAATTTACGGGTAGGCTTCAATGATTGTAGCAAGAGTTTGCCGTTATGAACAGTTTACTGAATTTTTCATCTATTCTTAGATCGCCTCTAGTAGACAAAATGATGAAGCTTTAATCCAAAGTTTTACTTGTAAATAAGCTTAATGACTCTTAGAATATGCTAAAAATTTTAGCGGCAAAAAATGTTCCTTCGATGAGTTATTCAGTTTTCAACTGCACTCGTTTTTTTGTGATAAAGACCTTTCTATAGGCAAACTTTTAGGTCGGATTTCTGTCATTTAATTTTATGAAATACCTACAAATACATCGAAAATCCATTAAACTATGCTTAATATGAGCTCAAATAGGAGATTTCAATTGAAGTAGTTCTTTCATTAGTAAGGGAAAGATTTGAGTTTTATTTTCTAACTATCTCAATTTGAAGTTTTTATATACAATAATCTGTTTTCAGAGTTTGTATCTTCGAATGATGAGATTTTTAAAATATGAAGTTTACAAATTCCAAAACTCTTCACACAAACTACTATATTTTCAAATGAAGGTTATTTCAGAATAAAATTCAATTTAGTACCTATAAACAAAATAAATCTTTCGAATTAGCAATAATCATCTGGAAGTAGATTTCCATCTGAATAGTTTCTGTTTAAATAATAAAGAATCTAAAACTTTTTAACAAAAAATTTTGAAATTATATTTTAATTTAGTTTACAAATTTTTGCCAGTGCTGATACAGCATATGTTCTTGCTTATTCAGTTATAATGCTTACAACTGATTTACATAGTGTCAATGTAAGTAAATATATTAATAAATATTGCAATTGTATTTTTGTTGTTTTATTTAAAAAAAAAAACAAAAATAGGTCAAACAAAAAATAACTAAACAACAATATATAAAAATGAATCGTGGTATAAATGAAAGTCGTGATTTACCCGAAGAATTTTTATCAAAAATTTATGATGAAATTAAAAATGAAGAAATTAAACTTAAAGTAACAACAACAACAACAACAAAACGTGGTACAAAAGAAAATATAATAAATGATAAACAACGTGAATTATTATTTAATATTCAAATGAAAGATGTTGAATTAATAGCACGTGATTTAATGGCTAATGTTGGTACAGTAAGTGAAGAATTTACAATAGCAAAACATTTAGAACATGTTCGACCTATGTTTCAAGTAAATAAAATAATATTTATTTTTTAATCAAAAAAAAACAAAAATTAAAAGTTAATGAAAATTTTTCCATTATTTAGAAAGCATGGTCACCATGTTTAGCTGCATTTAGTGTTAATCTTCAAGATAGTGATCATATAGATCTTACAAATTTATGTTTAATTGGAATAAGTTATGCTATTCGTATAGCTTGTATTTTTCATATGGAAGTTTGTATTATTAAGAAAATAATATTTTATTCAAATAATTTTTTTTTTTGTATTTGTCGAATCATTTTAGCTTGAACGTAATGCATTTATTCAAGCATTATCACGTTTTACATTACTAACAGCAACATCACAAGTTATGGAAATAAAAGCAAAAAATGTTGAATGTCTTAAAATATTAATATCAGTTGCACAAACTGATGGAAATTATCTTGGTGAAGCTTGGTATGATGTAAGTATAGAATAATTTAAAATTCAAAAAAAAAAATTTGTTTTTTTAATTTTCAGATTTTAAAATGTATTAGTCAATTAGAATTAGCACAATTATTTGGTGTTAATGCTAATAAAGCTAGATTGCCGGTTTCAAATCATCATCATCATCATCATCATCAAGTGAATATACCAACGAACAGTACATCAACGACATTTAGTTTACCATTTGATAATCTTTTTCATACTGAGAAAGGTATGTTGAAAATGAAGGCCCACCCCCTCTCAAAAACCGATCTCAGCCTAGGTACATTCAAATCGTATGAAATTTTCAGGATATGTTTGGCTTGGAGTGAAGAAGTTATGGTAAAATTTTCAGCCCTGTACCATGACGTCTGAGGGAGATATTGACCAAACAAGGGTCAATAATAGCTGATTTGGCATTCCAAATTTCTGTGTCTAGGCTCATTCTACATATTTAATTTTTTGTTTTGTTTGAAAGAGCATGTCAAGATGCAGTGCATGATAAAGTCCTTTTTTTTTAAATTCTTACTTTTTAAGTACAGAAAAGGAATCACAAGTTCAATGACTCAAAAAACGCTCTAATTATATAAATGTCTATATATATAATAAAAACAAAGCTTAATTTAAAAAAAGGACTCTATCATGTACTGCATCTTGACATGGTCTTTCAAACAAAAAAAAATTTAAATACATCACTTGGATCTGGACTGAGAAATTTTGGCTGCACCTTCGACATATCATGAACTGAGAAAAAACGAAAAAGATTTTCTATTTTCCCCCAAAACAGCTTATTTTTCAAATAGGGGATGATGGAAATCTTCAAAAATTTTTGAAAAAAGTGACTTTTTTGAGGAAGGGGGAGGCTTTAAATTCTAATAATTAAAATAAATACATAGCTGCAATTAATTTTTTTTTTTGGTTATTGTACATCAATATTGTTAGATACTGATGACAAAAATAAGTTCGAATCTTCGATTCTGAAGTCAGTCGAATTCTGATTAACAAAAACATGAACCTGCATTTTTCGATTTTAAAAATGAAATTTGAGGTTTTATTTCTTTCAAAATCATTTATTAGAACTACAAAATGTAATAACTAAACTTGAAATACAAAGATTTTTCATTTATCATCAACAACTTAATTTCAATACGTTTTTTCAGAGATTTGTGATTTATAATAAGATATCCATAATGAACAATTCAATTATCGAAGTTCGATAATAATAATTCCGACAGACTTCAACCACATTAGTTACACTTGGATGAAAAACATACCACTTTCATAGAGATAATATAATTATTTCCTATGTCTTGTAAAAATAGAAAGATTTATTTTTCTTTTTACAGGTCAATTAAATAAACGATTACAATCCATACAAGGTCAAATTCAAGAAACAAGTTCACAAAGTATTGTTGTATCGGTTGATCGTATTTTTTCTGGATCAGCACGATTAGATGGTGATGCAATTGGTAGAAAAAAAATTTTTTTTTTCTTATCACATATTTTTTCTCGTCTTATTTTTTTTTTGTATTTCAGTGGCATTTGTTCGTAGTCTATGTCATGTATCAATGGATGAATTATATTCAAATCCACCTCGAATGTTTAGTTTATTAAAAGTTGTTGAAATATCCTATTATAATATGGGACGTATTCGACTTCAATGGTCAAGAATATGGGAAATAGTTGGTGAACATTTTAATAAAGTTTGTCATCTTTTGTTTTTTTTGTTAACGAAATTCCATAATATCATATATTTTAATGATATAGGCTGCTTGTCATCCATTACAAGATGTATCATTTTTTGCTGTTGATTCATTACGACAATTATCAATGAAATTTCTTGAAAAAGGTGAATTTCCAAATTTTCGTTTTCAAAAAGAATTTCTTAAACCATTTGAAATAATAATGAAAAAAAATTCGTATGTATTTATTTTTTGTTTTTTTAAATATAAATATTTAAAACTATTTGATCTATTTTAAATAGATCATCAACTATACGTGATATGGTTGTTCGTTGTATAACACATTTTGTTGATGCACAAGCAAAAAATATTCGTTCAGGTTGGAAAAATATATTTAGTGTTTTTCAAATGGCTGCTAGTGATACAGACGTACAAATTGTTGAATTAGCTTTTCAAACATGTACACTTATTGTTGGTATGTTATCAAAAAAAAAATTCGAAATTTTTTTTTTCTATTTTCAATAGATTTATTTGACAATTAAATCATTGATTAGAATAATAATAATAATAATCCTAAAACTAAACTCCCCTTTCACAATAGGTTTATCACTTCGAATAATTCATTTGAGGTAAAATTGTCAGAAATCAATGGACCTATGGAGAAACGTTCTTGACAAAAAAATTTAATTGAATGTATGAAACTAGAGCGAATATCTCTATAACTTTGTTACGACAAGAGTTCTAAAGTGCGATGATAACGTTTGTTTTTTTTTTTGTAATTTCTATTTCAATAGGTGTTGTTTTTGATCGATATTTTGCATCAATACTTGATAGTTTTCAAGATGCTGTTAAATGTTTATCAGAATTTGCTTGTAATGTTTCATTTCCTGATACATCAATGGAAGCAATACGATTAATAAGACAATGTGCAAAATATGTTGCCGAAAAACCACAAGTAATTTTAGTTTTATTTTTAAATTTAGTTTTTATAAAACTAAACATTTTCTTTTATAGGTTTTTCGTGAACATGCTGGAGAAGATTTAATTAATGTATCTGAAGAAGATCGTATTTGGGTCAAAGGATGGTTTCCTATTCTATTTGAATTATCATGTATTATTAGTCGATGTAAACTTGACGTCAGAACAAGGTATAGTAATATGATTTTATAAAGAAAAGTTTGATTTCAGATAATACTATATAGACTATTAGAAATCAGAAATTCAATTTTTTTGGATTCGTTTAATTTAATTTGTCTAGAATTCATATGATTCTTTGAATTGAATATGGATGTTTCAGAAGTCATAAAATGCTAACAAAATTCCTTGTTCTTGTGTTCAACAAACCTGACGTATACGAAAATTTCAGGAGAACCAAAAAACGCACGTTTACTTTTGTCGTACAAGAAAGTCGTATATAATCAGGGAGATATATGATCGTTTACAAGCGTATATGAACTCCATATTTATCTACTTGACTTTAGTAAATTATTGTACCTACTTAATATTCAATAGCAACAAAATGTTGAGTCTATAGTTTTTAATATGGACCAATGATTGGGGTTTAAGACAGTTGCGCACGACTGTCCCGATCTCAAGGGTTCAAACTCATTAGACCTTTCCTCCAATGTTTGCCGTTAGAAAATATATTTCACTAGGGACAGACATAAAATTCATATCACAAATAATGCAATTGGCATTGGATATATTAGTTAACATTTGGTCTATAGAAAATATATAGGATTCAGAAAGATTTTATCGATAAGACTTTTGCCGTTAGTAAAATTTCAGTCATTCGTTCTTTATATCAAAGAATGATGAATAATTTTTAGAATTAAGATTAAAATTAATAATTAATTATGATAGTAATCAAATATACGAACATTAATAATTTGACATACATTTAGTTATTTTGATTTCAAAAGATTGATGAAATTGATAAAAATAGTATACGATAATATAATTAGGAATTTTTAGACTTAAAATCTTACAATTATTTAGTATTAAATAAATACAAGAATCTGTAAAGACAGCTGGATAATACAAAAAACAAATTTGATTAAATATTGACTTTGTTTTTTTTTGCTTTTGTCTAGAGCATTAACTGTGATGTTTGAAATAATGAAAAATTATGGTGAAAGTTTTACTCAACATTGGTGGATTGAATTATTTAATGTAGTTTTTCGTATTTTTGATAATATGAAATTACCTGATACACAAGTAGAAGTATAATTAAAAATTTCCTTTTTATTTTCCTTTTTTTTTTGAATTATCACTTTATTTAATTATTCTATTAGAAAATTGAATGGATGACAACAACATGTAATCATGCATTATATGCTATTGTTGATGTATTTACTCAATATTACGATTTTATACCTGAATCTGTTGTTGAAGATTTATATTCTCAATTAAAATGGTGTATTAATCAAAGTAAAAATATTTTATAGAAAAATAAAATAAAAAAAAAAAAATTTTTTACTCTAATTCATATTTATAGATAATGAACAATTAGCAAAATCAGGAACGAATTGTCTAGAAAATTTTGTTATTGCTTGTGGTCAACATTTTACTCAAAATATTTGGGAAAAATTTTGTACTTGTATATTAGAAGTTTTTCATTCAACTTTACCTGAAATGTAAGTTATTTAATTAAATAAATCATTAAAATATTTATCAAAATAATGATATTACGTACAGTCAGGAGATGGCTGAATGTAAACATGTACCGAACCCAAATATTCGGGATCATTTTTGATTTCAATCATATTCAGTTAACTTTATACGACCTGAAATAAATGGTCTAAAACCTAAACATACGATAAAAATGTTCAGAGATACTCGAACTTGAGATTAATCTGCTTTTACAATTGTTCATATACTAAAAAAAAAAACACTTGGCTAGTTTACGAATATCGACTCAAAATTTGAATTTCTAACGCAGATTACACTGTTCGCTACAGAGATGGACAAAATCGCACCGCGCCTCCCAGCGCTTCCCCGTGCCGCTGCTCGCGCCTAGGCGCTACGAACATCTCTCTTTCTCTTTGCTCTACCAATCAGTTTCTCAAACTCCACCGAATACCGGGATGCTCTAAGCATGCGCTCATCGAAGCTCAGACTAGTGTAACGTAGGCGTGAGCAACGGCGCGGGGAGGCATGGTGCGGCTTTGTCCATCTCTGGTTCGCTATTATGTTTAATTTCATCTTGATTTTGAGGCTCTTGACATGGCGACCTGAATCTGATTCATCAGCAATGTTAACAATTGATGAAAAAACTGTAAGTTATTTTTATTTATAAATAAAAAAAAAAAAAGTCTAATCTTTTATTTTTGATTATCTTAGATGCTTGATCGTACAGATAGTTCATTTGATCATACAGCTGTTGAATCACCTTCAAGTCAACATCATCGTATGACACGTGCTAATAGTTCAAGTAGTGTAAATAGTGGTACATCTGAACAATCAGAAGTAAATCTTAATAATCGATATAGCGAACGAACAAGTAAATATATGAAAAAAAAATTAAATTTTCATAATAGAAAATTAAATTTTTTTTTTTTTTTTCTTTTTAGAAACTAATTCAGATCTTTTACAATTTCAAAATTTATCAATTAAATGTATTGTACAAGTTGAACTTATTCAAACAATTGATAATATTATTTTTTATCCATCAACAAGTAAAAAAGAAGATTTACAATATATTTCTATTGCACATGTACGTATAAAATAAATAATTATTTATTTTTTTAACATTATCTTACTAACATATTGCCCTTAGAACTCTACTTCAGTTGAATCAGAGGTATAGATAAGAAATATAAAAAAAAATGTATATATATATATATATAAATGCATGCTCATTTGTTTGGCTTTTATTTATTTTAATATTTATTTCAAAATACATTTTTTTTCCAGGCCTTAGCAAGTACACCAATTGGACAAGAGAATTTAACTTATATAACTTATTCCGATGATTTATATAATGATCATGGCATGTACTCATATATGAGTTTTGATCAATTAATTTTACTTGTTGATTGTTTGATTGAATCACATATGTTTGCACGTACATTTAATTCTAATAATGAACAAAGAAATATTTTGTGGAAAGCTGGTAAACATAAAAAAATCAAAATAAATAAAAAAAAAAAATTATTTATTTTGTATATTAAAAGGATATCGAGGCAAAGCAAAACCAAATTTATTAACACAAGAAACAAATAGTATTGCATGTGCATTCCGTATTCTTTTCCGTTTATATAGTGATCAAAAACATATTAATTCACATGATATACTCAAACGACGAATACTCAAGTATGTATTAAAAATATCTTTCATTTCAATAAAAATAGATTTTGTATAGTCAATGCATCAATATCTGAAACTATTAACTTTAAAAGTTTATCTTTCAATAGAATTTCTTTGAAAATTTTGATATTATATAATACAGGCCTTTTTTTTTGTTTTCCACAGTACAGTATGTTTAGAGTAACAAGAAGTTTCAGGTTAGTTTTTTTTTTAATAGAGAAAACGAATATTTTTAGTGGTTTTTCATTGTGATGATACAATTATAAAGTAAAATGAATGTCTATATATCCTTTTGGTATTATTTCTAGAAAATTTAAATAATTCGATTGAAATGAAAACGAGCACAACTTTTGCAGGTGTTTTTTTTTCTCATAAAAGTCGATATTGAATAACTTTTCAAAGAAAAAAATTTTGAGATTATGATAGTATGAAATATTGATGAATTGAATGTACAGAAATAAAAGAAAAGAAAAAAAACTTTTTGTTTTTTATCGAATATTCAATGTTCTAGTAGATATCGCTATAAGCAAACTTTATTTATATTTCATTTACTATATATTCTTAACGATAGTGTTTGCATTTTGATTTTAGCTAGTTTTTTTTTTTTCTATTTATAGAATAGAGATTGAAAGAAATAATAAAATAATCAATGTACATATCAAAAAAATTAATATTTTTTAGGAAGCCATTTGTTTTCTTTACGTGAAAACATTTTCATTGGTTAGTTGTTTTTTTCTTGGATATCATGTATAGGCTCCACGTTTGGTATTATAGAACTATTATTATTGATTGTTAGATATTATATATTCTTATTAATACTGTATTAGAATTGTATAATATTGGCTAGAAGTACATGTAGTCAAGAAAAGAAGGATCATAAGGTTTTCTTCAGATTTATTAATTTTCCTGCCGAACATTAGGTCAATCTATAAGATCTGTTTAGTTGTACTCTAATATCAAAGCAAGAGTAAACAACTTTGTATGCCTTATTATCAGAGCAGAATAGATAAAAATTCTTGTAACAGCTTCGGATATGATATAGTAATACTAGTTTAAAAAACATCCATTTTTGTCGAAGAAACACCGACGATTGTTAGAGAATCTTTTCTAAAACTAATGACTTCGACTCATGTTTCGTAACTTTTTAGTACTCCTAAAAATCCAGTCGTATGTTGTATTTTTAAATAGAAAAAAAAAGTAGACATTCTAAATACTTCCTAGCATCAGTAGAAAACTATTTCAGCTCGATTGAGTGTACTTCAGTTGACTGAACTTGTTTTTTTTTTGTAATGTTTTTCTAATCATATATTTCGTCTTGAAATATGTTCATTAGGATAGAAAATACTTCAAAATATATATAGAAAACGATTGCGAAAGAGATTCTTCGTATGTAGAATGCAATTTTTTATAAATACATTTGTCTCAATTGGTTGTTTATTACATCAGTTGATAAGAAAAACAGCATTAACAGTGTGCATACAAAGGACTAAACATACGGATCGTGCACGTAAGGAAAAAAAAAATGAGAAAGGCAAATGTACCGAAGCATATTTTACATACGACAATGTGGTCGAATTTAAGCACAACACAGAACGAACAAAATAACAAAAAAACACCAACATAGATGTACGTGTATATACTATCTAGAAAACATTTGATTGGTGTAAATAATTGTTTTTTTTTTATTTATAAGATTGTAAAAGTTCTATTTTCTTTATTAGCTTAACTCGTGACTGTTTTGAATATTATTCAACATTACAGTCTGAAACTCATCGTGATGCATGGACTAGTGTACTTATGCTTATATTAACAAAATTATTAAAATTTAATGAAGAACAAGTATGATTTATAAATTTACTTAAATATTTTTATATTTATCTTCTTTGTTTTTTTCTATAATAGTTTAAATATTATTCAATAGAATTTTATTCACTTATATCTGAAATAGTTGTATTCGATTTAAAACCTGAATTACGATATATATTACGAGAATTTTTACTTCGTATTGGTCGATCATTTATTAAAAACAGTGATTTAATGAAATCCATATCATAATATATATATATATATTCCTTTCTTTTTTTTTGTCTCTTTCGTTTACTTTTCTTTTACACATTCCGTGCCACATTTTTTTTTTCTTGTCTCACTGTTCAACCTTTTATTTATTATATACACGATGTGATTTCTAATTGATAATTATTATTATTTTTCTGTCGGACTTATTGTAAACTTATAATAAAAATAACTATATTAAATTCTTATTCTTTATTTTTTTTTTGTTTCGTTTTGAGATCAAAATATGTTAACTCGAGCCGGATGTACCTTATTTCGATCTACATTAAATCAGGTATAATAAATTTAACATTTATTTACTATTAATAATTGTATTTGTTTTTATAGTTTTTCTTACGTAGTCTATCGACAACAAGTTCATCACAAAAAATCTATACTAATTTTCAAGAAGCCGTCCAAGATATTCCACATGGAGCAAAATTATTAGTTGGAGGTACTCTATTTAGGCATAATTCGAAAAATATGTCGAATGTTAAAAGCAATTATTAGATTTAGATCAAAAAATGTAACTGAAATAAAAAGTGAGCTTGAGATTCGAGTTGTACTAATCAATAGATGAAATGAACAGAATTTTTTTGAAGACATCCTTTGCAAAACAATGCTTTCATTATACATATTTATTTTTTCAAATTATGATTTTTTTTTCCTATTTATTCAGGTTTTGGACTATGTGGTATTCCTGAAAATTTAATTAATGCATTACTTAAAACTGGACAAAAAGATTTAATAATTGTATCAAATAATTGTGGTGTTGATGATTTTGGTCTTGGTTTATTATTAAAAACAAAACAAGTTAAATATTTCTAAAAAAAAAAAAAAATTTTTCACTAAATATTATTTTTATCTTCATAAAGATTAAACGTATGATTTCTTCATATGTTGGTGAAAATGCAGAATTTGAACGACAATATTTAAGTATGTTTCTTCTTTTTTTTTTTTAATATGCTGAATTCTTTATTTATTTATTATTTTATAGATGGCGAGCTCGAAGTTGAACTAACACCACAAGTATAATTTTAAATTGATGTTTTTTTTTTTCTTTTTCTGAAAAAGAATATATAGGGTACTTTAGCAGAAAAAATCCGAGCTGGTGGTGCTGGTATTCCAGCATTTTTTACACCAACTGGTTTTGGTACATTAATTCAACAAGGTGGTGCACCAATTAAATATTGTAAAAGTAGTAAACGACCTCTAATTGAAAGTCCAGAGAAAGAAGTAAATAAGAAAATTTTTTTTGATTGAGTCAATTACAAAATTTTGTTTTTTCTTTTGATATATAGACTCGAGTTTATAATGGTCGGCACTATGTTTTAGAAGATGCTATTGTTGGTGACTTTGCTCTTGTTAAAGCTTGGAAAGCGGATCGCTTAGGAAACCTTATTTTTCAGTAAAATAGAAAACAAATTATATTGCTTTTTTTTTATTGATAAAAATAATTTTAGAAAAGCTTCTCGAAATTTTAATCAACCAATGTGTAAAGCAGCACGATATACAATCGCTGAAGTGGAAGAAATTGTTGAAGTTGGAGACTTAAAACCTGATGAAATTCATATACCAAATATATATGTACATCGACTTATTAAAGGTGATAAATATGTAAAACCTATTGAGGTAAATATATTTATTAGAAGAAGAAAAAAAAAGATTAATTTTAATTTTTTGTTTTAGCGTCGAACAGTACGTAAACGTTCAGCACCATCAGCTACATCAACTCCAGCTGAATCAAAAAAGAAAAAAGATGATGCAGCTAGAGAACGTATTATTCGACGAGCAGCTTTAGAATTTACAGATGGAATGTATGCAAATTTAGGCATTGGTAAAGAAGAAAAAACAAAAAAAGAGATGATATTTAAATATTAATAAGTTTATTATTTATTAGGAATACCAATGTTAGCTTCAAATTATATTCCAGATGGTTTAACAGTACATCTACAAAGTGAAAATGGAATTTTAGGTTTGGTAAGTTTTATATGAATACATGATATAGAGACTTAGTGGAAGATCGAATCATTGAGCTTTAAAGTTAAAGTGAAAATGACTAACAAGGAAACTTCTACAAATGATAAATTGCTTTTGAGTTGAGACTATATGTATTTTACAGAACAAGCTTATCGTTGTGAAAATATTTTAATTTTACCGTATTAGCAATAACGATAAGGTCTGAAGCATTTACAAAAACTCTATTCTCTTTAACATATGTCTCTATGAGAAGTTGTAAGTCGAAAATCAGTTTTTCTAGTACGAATTGGTTTCGATGTATTCATCATTTATTTAAATCTATTATAATAATAATTATCGAAAAAATCGAATTTTAAAACTCTTGAGTTCAATTACGTAAACTGATCTTACAAAATAGAAAGTTGTTAACAGTATCCATGCGAGATTAAAATTTCAAAAAAAACGATATAGTAACTACTGCGAATTACAGGGACCTATTCTCACAATTTCAATCATAAGTACCAAGAGTTATCATTGAGAATATAGCTCGTGTACTGTTGTGTAGCTGTGATAAATAGATGTCTGACAGCACACATGATTTGAAAATATTCCAATAAATTAAGTCATGAATAGTTCGATTCTTCTAAAAGAAGAAAAATTTCAACAGTATCTTCGATATTACTTGCCAAAAAAGGTTTAACAACATGTTTTTTTTTTCGAAATATATTTGAGAAGAGGAAATTTTTTTAACAATTAAATTACAATACATAAGACACATTGCAATATTCTCAAGACGAATATTTATTGATACTTGTAGAATAGAAGGAATAACTAATCATTTTTCTTCTAGGGTCCATTTCCATTTGAAGGTGAAGAAGATCCCGATTTAATCAATGCTGGCAAAGAAACTGTAACTATTCTTCCTGGAGCATCATTCTTCTCTAGTGATGATTCATTTGCTATGATTCGTGGTGGTCATATTGATTTAACAATGCTTGGTGCTATGCAAGTATCACATTATGGTGATTTAGCTAATTGGATGATTCCAGGTAAATTAGTTAAAGGTATGGGTGGAGCAATGGATTTAGTTGGCAGTGGTCGAACTAAAGTTGTTGTTACAATGGAACATAATGCTAAAGTAAGAGATATAGAAAAGAAAATACAAAAAATTTATTTTTTGAATATTCATTTATTTATATAGGATGGTTCAGCAAAAATTCTTGAATCATGTTCACTACCATTAACAGGCAAAGGAGTTGTTGATTTAATTATAACAGAAAAATGTGTCTTTCAAGTTGATCCAGAAAAAGGTTTAACACTAATAGAAATTGCTGATGGTTATACAACTGATGATATTATGAAAAGTACTGGTTGTCCAATTAATGTAAATATGAATAATATTTAAAATTTAATTTCCATGTGAAAATTTCAATATTTTTATTTTAGATTTCTGACAAACTCAAACCGATGCAACAAGTGCAAATCAATCGCCATAAATGATTACTTCTATCGAACTACAATAATATAAGATGAATAGTTTTGATGTCTTTCCACTATTTTGTACCAGAATACTAGTTTTGTCATAAAATAAAATAAGAACGATAGAAAATTTCGGTGACTGGGGGTTTTTCTTTATTATCTAATAATGATCAGTTAACAATGAAATACGTCTTGTTAAGAAGTGTAAAAATTAGTTAATAAAACTTGCTATCAGTTAATTAAATCCACTGGTAAGTATTCAAAAAAAAATCAAAGTATTGAATTAACTAGACTACATTTTAAGAATACTGATAGAATATATGCATCAAGTGAACATGAATGGTCGAAACATTACACAAATTATATAGGAAATGGGAGAACAGTTTATTAAAGATGCAATAAGGATGGGTGTGGGTGTGGGTGTGGGATATAATATGGTTGAAGAGAAGACTCATAGCTATACGCACACCAATTTTTCGTTTTATGTTCTTTCGTTCTCTATTGTTATTTTTCTCAAGCGAAAGATCTCACTAGCTTATAAATTTACCATGATAATACTTTCACTTTTTATGCTTGAATCTTTCGTCTTGCTATCTTATTCTTATCGTTCTGTTGACTAGTTCTTAAGTTCGTTTTATCTTGCATCGATAATCTTGTTTCATAGGAACAATGAAAGTTCTTGTAAAAAAAAAAAGAGCAAACAAAAGTTGGAAAAAATAATATTAAGATAAATGATGCTGTTAGATTTTTTGTTACTGATAACTATATTCTCAACTGGAACTATGTTAGAGTCCTGCGCGGGTTTGATTTTTCGAACCCGCACCCGACCCGAGGCCTTTTAGCCGTACCCGTGCTCGACCCGACCCGACAAGGCTCAACCCGAGCCCGACCCGACCCGACAAGGTTCAACCCGAGCCCGACCCGACCCGAGGATAGTTGGACCCGAGCCCGACCCGACCCGAGGATAGTTGAATCCGAGCCCGACCCGACCCGAGAGATTTAAATTCGTTTATTTTATAAAGATACATCAGTTTATTGCAATATTAAGCATAAAAAATGATAGAAGCTTTATAGCAATAAAAAACACATAGATAATCATGATTGCAAAAAAAACCATCACAACTTAGTATGATCACATTTCCATTCAAATACATACATTTCAAACAGTTAAGATCGATAATGATCATAACAATAAGTATCGTACAAATATCAATAATACATCTTCAATTTATACAAAACAACTGAAAAATTTCGTAAAAAAATAAGAGAGTCAAGTGATTCTGGTGATATTTGTTGACGTCGAACTTCAAGAATCCGACCTGTTTTACTGAATATTCTTTCAGATACAGCAGAACCTGCAGGTACTGCTAAGAGAGAACATGCCAATAATGATAACCTAAGGAGAATCAAATTTAAATTAATTTATTGAATTTTTCTTGTGCATTTAAGGAGAATGATATAGTAATCAAGAAACTCACTTTTGTATATGATAGAGTGTATTTGCCACCGTTGTAAAAGTGATTCTCCTTTTGGGTATGATATTTTCGCTTTAATATAATCATCTACTTTATCCATCGGCCTCTTATCATCATAGTCTGATGATGAGTCTACAAATGCATTAAAAGACTTGAGAACATCGTGTACAATGTCTATTTTAATACGTTTTTGATGTGTTGAGGAATTGTTGTTGGTACCTGTCTCTGTTGTTTCTTCATCGACTTGTTGATCTATACCTAGAGCTTTTAAAAGTATTCGTATATTTTTAATAACAGCATTACGTTCTGATTTCATTAGACTCCGAGAATCATTGATCAATAGAATTGAGTTTTATTATTCTATGAGTTTAAGACGAACGAAAATAGAGGGCAGAAGCATACATACGCAAAAAAATCTGACCCGATAAAAACCCGACATTTTTTAATTTCAAACCCACACCCGACCCGACGGCTGACAGACCCGTACCTGACCCGACCCGATAAGATTGAACCCGACCCCGCCCGCACCCGACAAGATTGAACCCGAACCCGCCCGCACCCGCGGGTCGGGCTCGGGTGCGGGTCGGGTTGCAGTACTCTAAACTATGTAAGTTTTATTGTTGAATGTCAACAAAGAAAAAACCACCCGCATTTGACGTCATAGAAAAATCTAAAAAAAACCAGCGCGTATCGAATGCATAAATAGAAAAGGTGATTTCTGCCTTAAAAAGAATCTATTGGCTGCAATAGCAACAGCATTATTGAATATCATGTCATCAAGACAGCGCATTGCTCAAAATTATTCGCTCAAGAGACATCAACATTTTCACTCAACTAGATGAATGTGTTGACTTTCTAACTGAAGTTGATGACAGGAAGGTGTTCCTGATTGTCGCAGGTACTATAAGCCAACAAATGGTACCCCTCATCCATGATATTAACCATTTTGATAGCATTTACATATTTTCTGAGAACGAAGTACAACACAAAGAATGGTCAAAAATTCGAGGTATTTTCACCGAAAGATGTTATTCATAAAGAACGTTTACAAATGTAACAGAGCATTTTGAGAAATCTGACTTCGATTTTTGGTAATTCATGCAAAGGTTTTCAGAAAAAAATGGCTATTGTTAACTACTTTTATGATCATTGTATTCGATTACACAATTACGAATAAGTAAATCTTCTTAAATGACTGTTAACTTATAAATAAATAAGTTAATACGTTAATTTATATGCATTACTTTTCAGTATATTGAACATTAGTATTGCATACTGTCAACCAGCTACATGTATTCAGTATACCTACCAGTAAGCTTCCAACAACTTGAATTTTACATAATTATGATGTTGTCCAGCGAATAATAGTTCCTTTCGAGAACATCAATGATCAATAAATTGGTCTTTATAGCACAATATACAAATATAATATTGAAACGTATTATATAGAAGTGATTTGAGTGTATCAGAATAGTTTGAAAGAGTACTTGGAAATACCAGAATAAGTGATAAAACACATAGATCCATTGACTTGTTTAGTGGAATCTCTGAGATTCATATTCAGACAATAAAAGTTTCGTTGTAGACTATCAATATTTGATTGGTAATGATCCTACTAACGATTGAGGGTGGGTGTAGGTGTGGGTGTGGATGTTGGTGTTGGTATGAGTGGAAGGTCCACATCCACACCCACACCCACCCAAATAAAATTCCTGGTTACACAACTTTATTTCTCACAAAACCAAAGCAAAATGATTATAATGCAAATAAAAAACAGAATTACATAGAATAATGATAAGAAAGGAGTTTTCTTAGTGATTATCATTCTAGTTAAATGATTTCAATAGTTGGTTTATCAAAAAGTAATTTTTTTAAGTTCAACATCATCTGGTACAGACTCTAATGGTGTCTTAAGAACATATGCTTTACATTTATATGCAATTAATAACATTGTATTTCTACCTTGCAGGATACGTCCCGTGGTTTCATCCAGTACCTTTAACTTATAATGTATTTCCATCCCGTAGACTTTATTATCAATACGTTTTTTGATAGTTTTTTGTTGCCATTTCATTAATTCAGTCAATTCTTTGGTATTATTCATTGTAGAAACTAATTGTGTTGCAGTATCTACTAAAACATTAAGTAATGGAACATTGCCAAATATTTGACGAACATTTTGCTGAATCTCATCCATATTTTGTAAATTACTATACCGTAATATTAAAACATTGTTTTCATCAATTACAGTTTCCTCAATGTCATTCAAAATAAGCTGTTTCTCTTTGGAAACTTCATCTTGTAGTTCTTTCAATTGATTTTCAAGTTGATAAAGGGCCTTCATCTTTTTCGATTCGTCGCTCTCAATATATTTTACAATTTCTTGCGGTTTCGAAGATGATGAACCCATTTTTTTTTATAAAAGAATTAATAGTTGTATAAATGCCTAGATAAAAAAAACTAACACAAAACGTATTTGACGCTAAAATGAATCTGAAAAATCGTTAATTTTATTTTTGAAAACCCTTACATACTGTCTTGTTAACAAGAACTGAATAAGTTTTGATCTTGTTGCGTTCGCTATCAATTTTTGATAGCAAAAAACGAACGGAGCTGTGACACACAATAAATCAATTTGTTACTGCTGGTGCTGCTTATTTATAAATATCCTTATGTATGTTATTAGATAAAGAGATATCCGTAGAAATTACTGGGAAGAACCAAACGACGACGAAACTGATTAAATTTTTTCTTATCAACAAAAACGTAAATCCGTCTTTCCAACAAACATACCTGGTGGGCCATAAGTAAATGTGCGATAAGAAATTTAAATATCTCCGCCAATTGTCGACCGAATGAGCTGAAATTTTTATCAGTAATACATGGTTACTTAAAGTTTTTTTTCATATGAACAAAGTTTACAAATACTATTTTGAACTATCATCTTTGGCTACAATACAAAAATTCCACCTTCAACTGAATGGTGGAGACGGTATTCTTAAAACACTTTTCATTCTATTTGAACTTTCAATCTAGCCATTCGATAGAGAAAATTGTTCTCTTTCGATTTGTGCAAGACCGAGCTCGTTGGGTTGCTTTGTTCAGAAGCTATAAGCGTTTTCCCGAAAGCCTTGAAATCGGCCAAATTA